ACACAAACGAGAATTCCAGGTTCGAGTCCCCGGACAGAAATGGTTAGGCACATTTCCTTCCACGTAATTCATCTGTTCACCTAACAGTGTTGGCTTAGCATAATATATGTGACATAATTAACATAATACAATGCCCGTAACGCTGCGCGTACTAGTGGCTTTACAAGAATGTAATTACTATGCTATGTATCCTCACAATCCCAATGTACCTTCTTGTATATCAATAAATAAATAAATAAATAAATAAATAAATAAATAAATAAATAAATAAATAAATAAATAAATAATATATGTGATACTCAGCTTGGCATTTGATAACGAGTAAAGGAAATAAACCTAGGATGAGGAATGGTGGACCTTAAGGGCATAGAACTTGAGGATGTTGTTGTTGTTGTTGTTATAGATTCAGCTACTCGGAACAAGTTCCAAGTAGCACGGGCTATGGTGAGCCCGTAACTTACCTGGCACAGGAGCAGTGCTGTGTGTATGCGAAAGGAACTTGAGGAATAAAACGTAAGATCATGCCTGCGCAGCTATTTGGATAATATTAGGCCCTAAAGTGAAGCGTTGCAATAAAGTTGCCACTCAACCTGTGCAACAATTATAAGAGGACAATCTAAAATGCTCCAGCTGTAACAATGCACCCACATTAAATTTACAATCGGCATGTACGAGGAATCCTAACTGTGGGCGGTTTACGGGCTATTCATGCCCGTGCCACCTTTTGGGTGGCTTAATCTCTCTAACTGTGGGCGCCCAACCCACTTGGGCTGGATGGTAGATGCGACGGTCTCGCGTCATGCAGGTCGGCGTTCAATCCCCGACCGTCCATAAGTGGCTGGGCTTCATTCCTTCCCCCCCCCCCCGTCCCATTTCTAGTCCTTATCCTGATTAGGGATGCTCTCGGACGTAGGTTCGAATCCTCGTCACGGCCCTTGTGCATTTGTTCATTTGATACATCACGCTATTGTGATTTCTGTGTGTAGTGTAAAGTTATCTTGATATTTGTGATGGTCTGAAAGTATTTTACGGTTCCAGTAATAGTCTACTTGTAAACTGGTAAGTTAACCTTTGTCTTAAACAGATTATTCGCAAGTTATATCTCTAATGTAGTACAAATAGTTAGTTTAAAATATAAAGTGTATGCCGAACATGATTTCTTAGAAACGATCTGAAGAATTTGGTTTTCTGTAAACGAAATTCAAGGGTACACGTAAATAGTTTTCGAATTCTATATTTCATATTATATTTGAATTTACCTGAGGGCCACTGACATTAGTGGCCTCGATGAGGATTGGAACCCGGCGGCTTGTCGAAGGTGTCCCCCATTTGCCTTAATAATCTTTTCCAGTTCCAGTTAATATTTTGGACAATATTGGGACAATAAAACTGCAATCAAGAGCTGTTATCCTACTTTAACTCATCTGAAGTCTACTCCTAGAGACATTTATTTCACGAAATTATTTTTTATTAGAATCTAGTTAACTATCACACAATGAACTTAGCGAAACTGCAAGCAAGAGCTGTTATCCTACCTCAGTTTATCTAAAGCCTGCCTCTAGAGACTCATATTCCATGTGATTATTATACGAATCACCATGAATAAACTGTATTTAAATCTAACACTCATACAAGGAACAGGACGAGCCAAAAATCAGCCGTGTACCGGAGCCTTCATGTGATCGGTTGACCAGACCACACACTAGAAGGTGAAGGGACGACGACGTTTCGGTCCGTCCTGAACCATTCTCAATCGACTTGAGAATGGTCCAGGACGGACCGAAACATCGTCGTCCCTTCACCTTCTAGTGTGTGGCCTGGTCAACAGCTGAACCCCAAGCTCTTATAATGAGGGATTTTAACCGCGAGACAATAAATTGGGTGAAAGGACGACCGAAACATCGTCGTCCCTTTACCTTCTAGTGTGTGATCTGGTCAACTTACTTTAGCCACGTTATTGTGACTGATCGCCTTCATGTGATCGGTTGACATGATCCCCCGGGTATTAACTTGTTGAGCGAACAAGTTCCAGACAGGAGTAAGCCTAGGAATGAATGATTGTTGATGGAGTGAAATTCATGAGGAAGGCAGTTTCAGCATGAGATTGTTGATAGCTGAGAGCCTTGTTTTACTCGTCCCAACTACTGGCTGTCCACGAAGTTAGGCCAGGTGAGGAACTTTGAGAATATTTAATTAAATTCTTTTATTTTATTTGAGAGTATTGGCCTTGTACATAACAGAAAGTCCACCATGATAGCGGTGTTGCAGCCTCTGGGGCCAGATTCACGAAAGCACTTACGCAGGCACTTACGAACGTGTACATCTTTTCTCAATCTTTGACGGCTTTGGTTACATTTATTAAACAGTTTACAAGCATGAAAACTTCCCATTCAACTGTTGTTATTGTTATAAACAGCCTCCTGGTGCTTCGGAGCTCATTAACTGTTTAATAATTGGAAACAAAGCCGCCAAAGATTTAGAAAAGATGGACAGGTTCGTAAGTGCTTGCGTAAGTTCTTTCGTGAATGTGGCCTCCTGATGTTTAAACCGACCCCCATCAAACTTGGTCAAGACGAGATGAGGCTTCTCGCACGGTTCTATAATTTGTCTAATTTGTCGAAAATTATCTCCCTCTTTCTTCCTTTCTCCTTCCCTCTCTCTCCCCCCACCCCCCACCACTCTCACTCACTCTCACTCTCTCTCTCTCTCACGACAATGTTTTAACAAGATTAGGGATTAGAATGCCTACAAGTAAGAGTTGCTTACGTCATACATATCGCAAAGCTTGTTTTCAGCGTGTACAATATAATGGCATAATCTATGGACTTAAGTGGATAGCCTTTTCGGTCGAAAAGCCTTTTTTTATTTCTATTTATATGTTTAATAGATCTCAGGAAGCATCTTATATGGTCATCTTCAGGATCCAAGACATTCGTACTCCGTCTCATTACAATTCCTAATCCAAACTGACCTAATTTATCTACAAATTCTCCCCAGATCTTATCATGATCTGAAATACTCACTGCGGTCATCTACATCAACTGTTTCACTGAACGAGGTTATTTACCTGAATTTACATGAGGGGCCACTATCTCTCTAGTGGCCTCGACGAGGACAGGAAGCCGGCGGCTTGTCAAAGGTCCCCCACTTGCCCTGATGATTTTGTCGCGCTGGATTTTGAAATTCAGCTGTGTTTTGGTATTTACGGCTTCGGCGGGTAGGCGGTTCCTTGGGTTTATGACCCTGTGGGTAAAAAAAAAAAAAAACATTTCCTGTTTTCCGTCGAATACTGTGGCTTCTTGAGCTTGAAACTGTTGTTCCTTGTGTGTTACATCTGACCTTTCGAAGAAGTTGTGTGTGGATCAATATCCAGTGTTGTTAGGCCTGTGGCCCTCACCTGTTCGGACCACAGGCCTAAACTAAACTAAGTCTATTTAGTTTAGGAATTATTTTTATCCCGTGGCGTTGAACTTTCTCCAAAGCAGACATGTGTTTCTGAAGATGAGGTCTCCATGCTTGGACTGAATAATCCAAGTTATAATTCAATAATCCAAAGTTAAAAGTTAACTGCTTATTTTCTCAAAATTAATATCTGTTCTTCTGTTGTAATTGCTGCTGTTAATTAAACATGTAATTATTGTCATTCTTTCTTCCACTCCAGTTCGATTCATGCTTTTGATCTCAATTAATCAAAAGTCTTAGATTTGATAAATGAATTGTGGGGTTCAGTCCCTGAGCCCATTATGTGCCTCTGTAACCCTTTCCACTACCGCCCACAAGATGGGTATGGGGTGCATAATAAATGAACTAAACTAACTAACTTCCCCACATCTTGCCCGAAACGCTGTACGTATTAGCGGCTTTAAGCATAGTATATACTAACTCTATCAAGAAAACCAACATTCTGCTTATATCTCAATATATATGACGACCAAGACACACACCAGAAGATGAGACGAGGACGTTCCGGTCCGTCCCTGGACCATTATCAAGTCAAACTATCAAATCAAGTCGATAGATCAATATGTATGAATGAAGTTTTACCTAAATAAACTGTTTATTTATTTATTTTACTTATGGAACTCGTGTAGAACGTTTTGTAAGGCCTCAATATCATTGTCCATCGACAATGTCATATACATGTCACTTATTTATATGACAAAAAGGGTTGGCCCCAAAATGGACCCCTGTGGGTGTACTTTATGCAAAGTTTTAGCGAAGTCCATGTATATTGATCTCATTGAAACTTCTAATATACTCTCCCGCCCTCTCTCTCTCTCTAATGTATTAATGCTGCATCACATAATGTTAGTTTATAATAGTGTAATTTTTATTTTGGCGATTTTTCTTTAGTATATGCTGTAATAGTGCACGGATGAGGTTTTCTTAGACTACAATTCCAGAAAGAAAACGTGCCTCACTACCTATATTTGCATGGTTTGTTGGTCAACACAGACATTACAACTGAAGGATTTATATTGAAACTCATCTTTATATCTTTCCAGTGTGGCAATTAAAAGAATTGTACTCATATTTCTCACAATATTAATGTATTAGATGATGGATATTGGATTTTTTTTAGCGTAGTCACTGCTAAAACTAGGGCGCAGTGGGCCGCGCCGTTAGACCAACCCACACCCATGTCAGGAAGTGAAAGTTGTCTCTCAAATGCCTCTAATTTTTTGTTTTAGTTACTTAACCAACTTATTTTCATAACGGTACATGCACAGTATCAATTCGTATTTTAGTGTAATTAAGTGTGTATCCCTTAGTCCATGGCTGATTGATTTAGGCTAAAAATGGTATGTTAATTTGCTTTTTTTTTATCGTCTTAAACCAGATTTACTAAATGTTACTTATAACTTTGCTTAGCTCTCACACTGGAGAGAATAATGGGGTAATAATAACGAAAGGTAAACACAAAAATAGCGAAATTATAAGAGAAAAGTGACGGTAGTCACACACACACGTGAAATAGCTGCCGTGCACTGGTGAACCAGCAACTCACAGTGAACCTGCTCAGGTGTTGGGGTGTGGAACCAGGCGGACTGGCTCTCTCAGTCAGGGTGAAAGTCACTCCTGGCAGGGACTGTTGTGCTGCTCTCTGTCTTAATCTACCGGGAACCTGTGAAGCATGAACATTATATTGCCAAGGTGTTCCCGCGAAGACAGCCAGGCAACTTCAACGGCTGTTCATTGACCTCAGGCAACTTCAACGGCTGTTCATTGACCTCAGGCAATTTCAACGGCTGTACATTGACCCTAGGGAACAACAGCTTCGCAATACATCACTTCCAGTAAGTCTACAGTGCCTCCTCATATATCATCATCCATATTTTGTTTAATATATTTGATTTGATGAGGCTAAAACGGCGTTTTCTGCAATTATTTAATCCTAACAGTGGCTGGCTCTTTGGGTGATAGGCGTGCTAATATAGAATATTTTACAGTTCTTAACTGTTCATTTCCTTACGACTTTGAAGCTTATTATATATATGTAGTTGATCAATGTAAGGACATTAACTCGTGGAGAGACTGTTGAAATAGATGAAAGGATTTAATAAAGGTAAATATATAGGGAATATTACTATCAAGATATAAACTCGAATCGGTGCGTTAAATTTAGGATAAGTTTAGCTTTAAAGACCCAGAAAACCAGTGGTTGTGTATGCAACTCATTGTGTGATGAGTATGCCACGACATGATCAAAAGAATTACAACCTGGAGTGCTACTGCCCTCACTAGGATCCCCAAGCTTCTCCGAAGCCCAATAGAGTTTGTGGCATTATATATTGCTTCGTATAAAGACTGTAACTTGCTTACCTAAATGAATTGTGGGGTTCAGTCCCTGAGCCCATTATGGGCCTCTGGGGACACACAATGTGATGTGTGTGAGGGGGGGGGAGGATGCCATGGTTTGACTGTATGGGAGGGAAAGAGTGGATGGAATAGGGAGAGCGAGGGAAGGAGGGTAGTGGGGAAATGTCCCGGGCACCGCCGGTAACCCTTCCTTGTGTGGTATAAAGTGACCAACTCTTTAAAGGATTAAACTCCACACTTAGACGAATTTAAATTCAAACAGCTTCAGCTGTTATGGTAGTTTAACAACGGCGCCAAAGTCTCGTTGGCGCCAAAAAGTCTCGTTGACGCCAATACTGTACTTTGATGAGTTTTAATAAAATAGGAGCAAAAAATTGTTTGAACACTTGCCTCGCATGGGGTAATAGGCCTACTAATGTAGGCCTGAATAATCTTGATATTTGAATAACTGTGCCGTTGCATGTTAACATTTTATTGTTCCGATTAAATATTGGCATATCATTAAATACAGGTTACAGTAGTAATTAAATAAATCCCGATTAATGTTAAATTATTGAAAGGCAATATGTGGATATCTTGATGATTTCTGGGTTTAACGTCCCCGCGGCCCGGTCCTCGACCAGGCCTCCTTTTCGTTACACACCCTCCAGGAAGCAGCCCGTAGCAGCTGTCTAACTCCCAGGTACCTATTTAAATATATATACCGGATAGGCACCGGATGTAAATACTTTCAAAATAACCTGCAGTTGCCTTTCACCCAGCGCTCCCTTCACTTTTACCTTGGTGTAGTGAGTCGGTAACACACCTGTGATAAAGCTATCTGCGACACTTGAGGCATATCCAACTTTATAATGTTTGGGGAAAAGTGCGCAGTTAAAATAAGATACAAGAAGAATGTTTGATTTCTATGTTGTTATAGATTCAGCTACTTGGAATAAGTTCCAAGCAGCACGGGCTATGGTGAGCCCGTAACTTACCTGGCACAGGAGCGGGGCAAGAAGCACGGGCTATGGTTAGCCCCGCTTTTTGATTTCTAGGTAGAGCGAGTATATATATATATGCTCTACCCCGGAAAATTAGGATTATGCCCAAAATGCTGTGTGTGCTATACAAGAATGTAAGAACTCTTGTATATAAACAAAAAAAATTATATACTATGCTTAAAGGCACTAACACGCATAAGGTTTCAGGCATATAAAAAAATTGAAAACTAAGACTTAAAACTAATTGAGATTAAAATTTAAAAATTTAAAGTTAGACTAATTAAATGTTGTATGGTACAGCAGAAATTGCAACAGACCTGCAGATAGTAATTTTAATTAAATAAACAGAAGGAATACACTTTTTTTTTTTACACGGCAGATATCACCTGTTTTAAAAGTTATTAATGTTCAATATAGGTTGACATTTAGGGGGTAAAATAGGTTACATGGAATTTAGTACCTAGCTTTTCTTAAACTGGTTGAGAGAGGTACAGACTTTGACGTGATCGGGAAGGTCATTCTACATTCTGGGTCCCTTGATTTGTAGAGCATTTCTAGTTTGGTTAAGTCGCATTCTTGGAATATCAAATTGGTCTTAGTTTCCAGTGTGGTGCCCATGGGTTCTGTTACAGACTTCTAGAAAGCGTTTAAGGTCAGGGTTAGCTTTGTAGCTCAGTTGTGTGTGTGTGTGTGTGTGTGTGTGTGTGTGTGTGTGTGTGTAGTACACTTAAGAGGATGTGCAGTGACTGAATAGCTAACATAAAGATTTAATCGTGTTTTTTTATTTGTATACAAGAGTTGTTACACTCTTGAACAGCCATTAGCACGCATAGCGTTTCGGACAAGTCCTTAATCCTAATTTTTGTTTCCCCGGAATAGACCCGCCAAATCGTTTAACAACCAGGTGCCCATTGACTACTGGGTAAACAGAGGCTACAGTTAAGGACTAGCGCCCAGTCAATCCTCCCCGGTCAGGACAAAGCGCCGAGCGAGTGCTTTACCACTATGCCACGGGGTCTGTGTATACTGTTATTGTTCTAATTGCTGGTTTGTGTTGAATAATTAGAGGTCGGAGATAATTTTGGGTAGTAGATCCCCAAGCCCAGATACCATAGGTGAGGAGGATAGAAGTGTGTTGGCAGAACAGAGCGAAGTAAATAGTATCTGATTTTAGAATGTTCACTGTTTTAGAATTAATTTTGTATATGGCCTGGAAATTCAGCTTTTCAATGAGAACACAAAGAAATTTACCATCTACTTTATTACTAATATACTGTTAATTCTTAATTTGATCAGTGGATTTATGACGAAACAATACAGAAGGTTTTATCAATATTAAGGGCGAGTTTGTAAGCATTTAGCCAACCATATACTTTATTTAGTACAGTATTCAGTCATTCAAAATAAGGGGGTTAGGAGGAGAGTGTCGACATAAAATTGGCTTGTTTAGGTATTCCGAAGGTTAATGAACTATGTAGAAGAGATATCTCATGATTATGTAGATATTGAGTATTATGATTACATAGCTTATGTAGATATTGTATACTTCTATTCTGTATACTTTAATATTTTCAAAATGTAATAAATCGCCGTCTCAAAAGATTTTTTTCCAGCAGGTATAAAGGCCTCGGCTGTGTTTAGAAAATAATACATGCAAATAATTACAATAAAATATGGGATAGGAAGCAAAGATCAGCAGTCGATAACAGGCACCTCGGCTTACGACGTAAACAGCTGTTTAACCTCAGAGATTCATAATGTGGGTTTATTGTTATCTAACTATATATTGCAATGACGACAACACACATTTTAGTGGTGGTGTGAGGATGTTGACATACACAACTGAAAGAATATTCAAAGTTTAAGATATTAATTAAAAAAAAATGAAGGACCATGGCTGGCAAACAGTGTTTCTCCTGGCGTCCATCTTCTTCCTCACGCTAAGGGGAAACTTAGCTACTCCTGGCCAACAGAAGGTCCCGGAGTATAAAGATACTGTCGTGGCGAGAGAAATCTCTTCCCTCGCCGCACTAAACTGTGGACGGAATTGCAAGACGGATGGGAATCTTGATCATCCTACATTACTGAAAAATGGCAGTGGCGATCCAGCCACTGGCTCTACTTCTGTTGGCCACCACAATGGAGGGAGACACGACAGGGAAATACCAAAGGAGAGACCCCTTCCGGAGGGATCCCCTACAAATACAAGCAGCGTTTCCCAACGTTCTGCAGACGACCCTACCTTCAGGAAATTGAGGCTTCTGCAGGAGAGTGGCCGGCCGTTTGGAAGTCATCCTCTGCCGCCCCTGGAAGCCTTTACTACGGACGGAGATGCTCACTGGGTTGGGTACTTCTGCGAGGAAGCAGTGGCAGCGGTGCAGCAGACAGAAACTGGGACCATGGTCCGCTGTGTGGTGCAAGAAGTCATGTGAGTATCTCTTTAAGAATTCGCTTGTTCGGATTTGTCTTGCTGTTGTCGATTCATGTCTTAATATTTCAAATCCACTTGAAACAGTTTAGATAGTGTATTGTTGTACCCTTGTAAATTAAGTTTGTGAAGAAAAATGTTTGGTATACTAATACGATGTGCGTAAGAAATATTTAGTGGCTCTTCTTGTATAGCTTTCTTCCCCCCGCCCAACAGGGAGAACTGGGAGCAGTGTGCTGCCCGTCAGTACCTTGGGAGCGTCATGCCCCTGATACCCATGCCCCTCTCCTCCATGATGCACCTCATCACCCTCTGTGGCATCCTAAACAGCCCCTCGTTTATGGTACACGAGGGCACCACCACAGTTCCAGGTACGGTACGATCACGGTATGCCAGATAGCCTCGCTTTTTTCAGGAATTTCCAAAATTGGAGATAATCATGGAGGCTTCTGAAGCACGGTTTTGTTTTTTGCTTTTCTTGCTTTTGCTTTTCCTCCAAAAAAATCCCTAACCTCTTCATAGCCTTGGCACAACAGCTATATTAAGACACCCCCATTATTCCTTTTAGTTTAGTTCATTTATTATGCACCCCATACCCATCTTGTGGGCGGTAGTGGAAAGGGTTACAGAGGCACATAATGGGCTCAGGGACTGAACCCCACAATTCATTTAGCTAAGCAAGTTACAATCTTGATGAGCTAGTTACAAAATTCAATATAAGTCGTCACATCAACAATGGGTTCGAGATCGACCTCAAGTACAGGTTCTAAAGTAAGCAACTGACATATGTGGAGAGCTAGTGTCAAAATTTATATGTTTGTCCTATAAATTTTGACACTAGCTCTCCACATATGTCAGTTGCTTAACCTCTGAAGTGTTCTGTTGTCTTCAGATCCATTCAACTCGTGGTGGTTGGGTCCTACGACGTCAGCCTTAGTGGGTATCTTGCCTGGGACGCTGTGGTGCGGGAAGCGGGACCGAGCCACCTACTACCACCAGCTGGGCCAGAGGGCTCAGTTGGACGACTGTTGCAGAGCTCATGATCACTGTCCCATTAAGGTCCTTCCACTTGCCACCCGGTACGGCGTCACCAACTTCGGCTTCGCCACCAAGTGAGTCCAGGAGAGGTTGGAGTTCGTGTGCGGGACAGCGATGGTGAGGAAGGGAGGGTAGCAGCGTCGAAGTGACCCCCCACCTCAAAGACGCCCCATAACTTTTAACGTACTATGTATTCAGAATCGGTATTTTCTCAAGTATACATTACTAATATATTAGAATTAGAGATATAATAACTTTGATAACAAAGCACTGTTAGAGAAAAGAACGTACATCAGTTGAGTAATGTGTAGTGTGTTTAATCCATGAACACGGAATTTGACAGCCGGATTAAAGTGTATGTATATATATGTATTTACATTGGGTTTGTAAGTACATAACATTGATGTCCTTACATTCTTGCGCAGCCACTAACATACATAGCGTTTCATTAATTCATGTCTTTACAATTGTACATTACTCTTATGTTCTTTGTACACACATTATTTTAAATAAACATTGTATTTCGGGCAGGCCCTTAACCTAACGGATAAGGTAAGTTATTAATAGAGAAAATTAAATTAATAGGTCCATTGTAGCAAAATCAGAGTTAAACATAATATAAATTGATGTATAGGATTACACTTTAGTTACATGTCATGAACATGTTATTTGTTCATGTCATAAATACTAAATATCAGTCAGTTCAAGGACTGACCGCTTTATTATATTATTTAATATATTATATCCTGCTACAGTCCTCGTTGTGAGTATAGAGTTGATTGCAGCAGTGTGAGATATCTTGCTCTAAAAACCACTTCCTAACCGGTTGATATTGTCACTCACAGATCACACTGTGTATGCGACCTGGAGTTCTTCCGCTGCCTGAAGGCCACCAAGGACTCGCTGGCAACCACGGTCGGCCAGCTCTACTTCAACCTCCTGAAGATGCAGTGTTTGAACACCGTCTCTCCCGCCCCTCAAGGCCCCGGTTACCCAGCGCCTACGGGAACATACAGTTCCCAGCCACTGGAGACTATACCAGAAGTCGAAGGACGCCACGATCCCCAGCAGGAACCCTCTGGCCGAACGCTGAAGGAGGAAGAGGCTGCTTCAGGGTCCCGGTTAGAGTGCTCCTACAGGGACGTGGATGGAGGGTGTCGAATGTGGCACATGAACCCGAAAGGTTTTACGGTGCGATATGTTGTGCAGTCCTTGAACCTAAGGTTCTGAAGGATTTAAAGTGGTCTATTATACTCTTGATTTGTTCATGTTCATCAGTCAAATCTACATAATATTGCCATCTCAGGACTTCTTAAATCTCTTGGAGGGAATCCTTGAATGTTAATATTTTTGTTTTAAAGTGGGTAGTTTAATACTGGTGCAGCGACTTGGTAGTATTTTGAGAGGCAATGGTCAGAGATCCTTGTGCTATCTTTTTATTGACGGTTACTGCTGTTTTTTTTATTATTGTATCTATACATCACGTCTTACCGTTTCAATTCGAATATCCTTTAAATTTATTAAAGTAACGTTTTATCGGCTATTAATTTGCAGCATTTTAATTATTTTTAGTTCTGGTCGCCGCCTGATGAGAAAACTCGTTCCATAAATCTTGCTAGAAGTAAACATATTCTGCTTGCCCCAACGCCTAGCACCCAGACTCGACGCAGGGATGTGGTTCGTTTATATGTATTTTAGAACTCTTCCTCCCTGAAGAATAAAACCAATACTGACATGCATATATTTCCCACAAATAGAACAATTTTGATGTTCTTATCTACATCGCGCAAATTTCTGGAACTAGTTTTCGTAACAGTGACATCTGAAACATAATTATTCAAATAAATCTTGCAAAATAATGCCAAATAGGCATTTAAAAAAATATTCAGCACTGCTAGGTGAGACTTAATTAAATTTTTCACATTGTTAATCGACAAATATTTGCATCCTTCATTTGCGTTATTTTATAGCACAGTATATAGTAAGGTCATTGCACAATTTGGTGCCTATGCACGTGTTTGGACGTGTTTCCAATTTGAATGAAATATGTAATGAATTCGGAAACAGATTTTACAAGTATAAAAAATGTGGAAGGATTTTTTTTTTTTGGGGGGGGGGGGGGGATAACTGTTAACCATTTTGGACGAAGAAAATGAAGGCATCTGAAGATAATTGTCTAATACATTTAAGGGCAGCATCTAGAGGAACGTACCAGACACGTTCAATTTGGGTCGTAAGCGTTTACGACCTATTAGCAGTCGCTTAATCTGACAACTGAACATGTACTCTCGGCACATTTGTCACAACTGCATTGCCTGCAAGTGTATACTTGTTTACAATTATGCACCAACATTGGTGTATATTACTTTGAAGTAGTGTACAGATACGTTGTTCGTAGTTATAATAATCTACCCTTCCCTTGTGTAAACTTATTTACAAACGAGTATAGACTTGCCTATAGTGTGCTCACCCCGTGTTAGAGCATGGCTTTGGTGCCATCATACGACCACAATTTTGTATATTTTTATATAAAGGATTTTTAATACATATATATCGTTTTAATATGAAACTATACCTTAAACTTCAAATTAATAACATTACCTTGCAGCATATTGATGACGGAAAACGCCATGGAATCAAAATCCACCATTCAGTGGAAGTTGTACAACAGGTAGTAGAAGCGGGAGTAAATATAGCTAACCATACCGTATGAATACGGTAATGCCCGAAACGCTTTGCGTAATAGTGGCTTTAGGCATTGTATGTACTAGCTCTACCTATAAGTCAAACAATCCTTGTAAATATTTATTGTATGTATGTACCTTACCTAAATAAAATTGTATTGTTGTATAAAAATAAAATTGTATTGTAATAATAAAGCGTACGTTAGATTTTATGGGGAGAGGTGGTCATTCATCTTTATAAATCTCTGGTTTTGCCCCCATTTGGACTAGTTTATCCAAGCATGGGGACCATGGCTGCCATGGAGACGGTGCAATACCGGGCAACAAAGATCATCCTAAATCATCCTCTTTCACCAAAGAGGTGAAAAAAATCACCTCTCATATCAGGAACGGTTGAGGGCCACAGGGCTAACACTGCAAACCAGGAATGATTAGGGATGTTGATTCCAGACAATTTCTTCAAAAGGTCTGGTGTAACACGAACAAGGAGCAACGGTTTAAAGCTCAAGCCACAATGTAGGACTGAAAACAGTTGCTTTTTTCCCACCCACGGGGATATAAACCCATGGAACAGCCTTTCAGCCGAAGAAAAAGTTACAGCCCCGCTTCTGTGCCAGGTAAGTCCTCTACGGGCTCACCATAGCCCGTGCTACTTAGATTTTTTTGTTCTTAGTAGCTGAATCTTAAACAACTACTTCCAGCCGAAGCCCTAAATGCCAAAACTGTTTCCTGTCCTCGTAGAGACCACTAGGGATAGTGGCCCTTGAGTAAATCGGGTAAAAAAGAAATACATGGAACCGCCTACCTGCCGAAGCTGTAGATTACCAACACTGATTAGTTTTAAAATCCAACTGAAAACAAATTGGGGCAAATGGGGGGATGGTGGGGCTTTCAACAAGCCGCCGGCATCCTGTTCTCATCGAGGCCACTAGTATATTAGTGACCCTCGGGTAAATAAACCCATGGAACCGCCTACCTGCCGAAGCTGTAAATTTAAAAAGTATAAAATTTTAAAATCCAGCTGAAAACAAATCGGGGCAAATGTGACCATCGACAAGCCGCCGGCATCCTGTTCTCAAGGCCACTAGTGTGGTGTTAGTGACCCTTGGGTAAATCCACGTATATAAGTTTAGTTCATTTATTATGCACCCCATACCCATCTTGTGGGCGGTAGTGGAAAGGGTTACAGAGGAACATAATGGCCTCAGGGAGTATAAAAGGAATGATTTAAATCAACAAAGTACTTACCTAGTTGTGCTTGTGGGGGGGGGGGGTAGGTTGAGCTTTGGCTCTTGGGTCCCCGGCGTGAGTGAACCAGTGTGACTGTGGCTGTGTGTAGTGAAGGGGCTTTATTCTCACCACTGGCCACCTCTACCTAATTACCCTCCTCAATTTACCCAAGAACAAGTATATCACCATTTCAATGACCTTTGGTGTCTTGATCTTTACCTAATGAGGTAAAAAATCTGCTAAAGTCTTAATGACTACGAACATTTACCTCTTGTGTGACCTGTTAAGGTAGAGCAGCGGATGTGGGACAGCAGAAATATTGTTATTATCCAGGTGTGTATTAATGGGGCTGACAAATTAGTTTATTATATAAAGAAAACCCCCCATACACCATAATACATAAGTCTGTATTACTGCCACTAAGTAGTTCTCCAGTATAGGGGCTGAGGACGTTAGGAACTGCCTTCCAAACTCGCTGTTTCTTATCATGGACTGACTCATTGTCTGTGTGTGTTGGGAGGGATATGATCCCCAGCTGCGTGTCCTAGGGTGCTGTGAGGAGCTCTAGGGTGTGTGTGAGGAGCTCTAGGGTGTGTGTGAGGAGCTCTATGGTGTGTGTGTGAGGAGCTCTAGGGTGTGTGTGAGGAGCTCTATGGTGTGTGAGGAGCTCTATGGTGTGTGAGGAGCTCTATGGTGTGTGTGTGAGGAGCTCTATGGTGTGTGTGAGGAGCTCTATGGTGTGTGTGAGGAGCTCTATGGTGTGTGTGTGAGGAGCTCTAGGGTGTGTGTGAAGAGCTCTAGGGTATGTATGTGTGTGTGTGTGGTAGTTGAGGTAATCACCAAAGGAAAGTGCTCGGCTAATATATGACCGCCTACTATTTTGCTTATGGTCCAAATTGCAGAGATACAAGTCGCATTGTGCCCCAAGACATTTTGCTTATGAGTACTAAAACCGATCCTACCCTCGCCCTACAGGATACAAATTGCGTCGTATACAAGACTCGCATAGACTCGCAAGATTCGCTTAGCTCAATCCAAACCAGTCTAACCCAACCCAAACCTAGCCTAACCCAACCCAAACTAGCTTAACCAAACCCAAACCTAGCCTAACCCAAACCCAAACTAGCTTAACCCAACCTAAAACCAGCCAAACCTAACCCAAACCTAGCCTAATCCCAAACTAACTTAACCCATCCGAGCCCAATACAGCCTAACTTAAGCTAATGTAGGTATCCTGCAGCCTCGGGAGACCATGGAGTTGCGCTCTAGTTGACGAGGTTGAAGCGTCCTTTCCTAAGCTAATACAGTCTAACATAACAATATATATATGGTTTTAACAAAGAAAAAAAGTTGTTTTGGCGAATCATCTCGTGCCCGAAATGACCACCCCTTCACCCATCCCAATATAATTCCAGCTAACCAAAGCTAACAGAGCTAAACCAAATGATATATGTACTTGTAAATAGAAACTGAGCTTTCTCAACATGCTTGAATGTGGTTAGTTAATTATGCAGCCCATACCCATCCTGTGAGCAGTAGTAGACCTCATACCCATCCTGTGAGCAGTAGTAGACCTCATACCCATCCTGTGAGCAGTCGTAGACCCCATAACCATCCTGTGAGCAGTCGTAGACCCCATAACCATCCTGTGAGCAGTCGTAGACCCCATAACCATCCTGTGAGAAGTAGTAGACCTCATACCCATCCTGTGAGCAGTAGTAGACCCCATAACCATCCTGTGAGCAGTAGTAGACCCCATACCTTTCCTGTGAGCAGTAGTAGACCTCATAACCATCCTGTGAGCAGTAGTAGACCCCATAACCATCCTGTGAGCAGTGGTAGACCCCATACCCATCCTGTGAGCAGTAGGGTTGAGGAGCTTCAGGCTCTTTTATTTTTTCTGGTGATAAGGGTTCGTTCCCTTATCGTTCATTCCCTTATCCAGTTGGGTTTGTTCTTGATGCACAATGGACAATTCCGGGTTCGAAACTCGGGCTGGACAGAAATTGTTGGGCACATTTCCTTTCACTTAATGCCTCTATTAACCTAGCAGAAAGTAGGTACTCAGGAGTTAGTCAGCGTGTTGTGGGGTTGCATCCTGGGCGGGGTCGGTAATTCTGCCTTGGGTGGGAGGGTACCTCGATAAAAGCCAAAACGTGTATGAATACTCTCTGGTTTCCTGGCCCCCGACACAGTGAATTAAACCAAATCTGTGACACAAATGACAGTGTCATCAGTGTCATTAAATGAGCTTTTTCTGGCCTTATCCAGAAAGAGGTATTTCATTGCGTTCAATGCTGGGTTTTATGATTTTCTAGCTATAGAGATCACGTTAAAATTTTTTGTTTTAAAAAGTAATTATTTAGCTTTTTGAATTATTATTTTTTTTAGTACAGTAATTATTACTGTTCAGTAAATAATATTGTATTATTAATGTAAATAATACATTATTTAATTGAATAGATGTAAACTGCTTACCATAATTCCAGGGCCGTTGGTGTGCACAATGGCTGCCATGACAGCCAGTGTCCTTAATAATTTTGCTGATCTTGCACTGTCACTACCAACTCCCTCTTTAGAAGCAACCATCAAACAAAACCCTACAGTTGTTGACTCAACAGGTAAGTAGTGTCATATGAACAAATCCACAAGGGCCGTGATGAGGGTTCGAATTTATGCACAGGCGTAAGTTTGAACCCTCATCAAGCCCCTTGTGGATTTGTTCATTTGATATATCACGCTATTGTGTTTCTGTGTGTATTAAGTGGTGTCATTTTAGGGCACGAAGTCCTTTAACTGTCTATTTTCTGGCCCCCCTATCAGTGAGACCTTTAAAACTTTCATCTATAATGTGACTGAAACACTAGATAGACAATTACAGTACCTATATATGAAAACTTGTGTTACAAAAATCTAAGCATAATGTTCACAACCACATCTCCGCACTAACGATACATAACTGATGCTTCACAAACTACGTTGATAATCTAGAAATGACACGGAATATTTCCCTATTTCCTGAATTTTCTTATGCACTCATACTAAAATATACTGTAGTTCATTTCTTATCAAGTACTGTTAAGTAGACACTGGTTATTCAATCTTGTTCAAATCCATTACAAGAAATATATAAATTGATCAGACAAAGAAAGATGTCTAGGAAAGAAGCCAGAAATACTTTACTGGGTATATAAACTAAGTTATTATTCTAACCTCAAGGAATCAGAATCATTACTTGGCATTTACCTGCTGGAATTTAAGTGGAGTTGGGAACAGTCTATGAAATATGCATCACTAAATTCTGCGCCGTGTGTTTCAGGGTATGATGGGAGGACAGCACTACAGAAAGCGGTGATGGTTGGGAACCTCCCAGTAGTGAGACTACTGCTGCAGTATGGTGCTGACCCCAACCTCAGAGCTCAGTCAGGTATAAGTCAAAATTGAAAGAGGTGCTTCTTTTATTCTGTGTGTTCTTTCTGGGGGGTAGCCTCCCATGACTCCCTGAAGCTGTCTTGCTGCGATTGCTATATACTTATAGGGCTCATCAGTTGCAGTTCTGTCTGGCTTACTAGAGACCAGAGCCAGAACCTGATGCCTCCCATCACAGAGGTGCAGGAAGTGAGTGACAATTCCCACAAAACAAGGGATTCACTCAAATTACCTCGAAATGTGTTATGCTCGAAGCAGAATGACCCTACAGACATTTTGAATCGATTCCTGTTGGTTCAGTGCAGATTATCAACTTCTTGTGAGTATGCATGTTCTGACCCATTTGAGCCAAGAAGGATCTTTCTTTATGAAGGAACCAAGTGGCCTGCTAAAAAATTTGGTTCTCATATGCACTCAGTCTTATTATTATTTCAGGTGAGACTGCTGTACACATAGCATGCTGTAGAGGACTACTCAACGTGGTTGTGACACTTTTGAAACACGGAGGAGATCCCATGGTTGTGGATGGCACTGGAAAAGTAGCTGCGCATTGTGCTGCAATTGCTGGCTCAATGTATGTTAATACGGGCTTTAATAGTGCTTTTTCTGAATTTGTCATGAAGCATGAAGAAGTGGAAGTGCTGACTCTTAATATACTGATGCAAGATTATGGTGCTGTATGAATATGACATTCAATTATTGTAACAGTAATAATATATAGTTAGGGCATGTTGAACAAATTAATTATAATAAAATGGTGAAGAGTGTGTTTGAGGGTAGCAAGAGGAAAGGACGGCCTGAAAGAAGATAAGCTGACTTAGAGAGTGAGTGAGTGTGAGGAAGAAAGGATTGAGAGTTGACCATGTATGGGATTTGGTAAGGAGAGAAGCCTGGTATTATGAAAGAGTGGAGTGCTGCTTCAGATCATTCTTGAAGTGTGTTTGTGCTTGTTCTTTAGTGATAATGAAGAGTGCACGATATAACCGAGGGCCACTAGGGTTAGTGGCCCTCAGGTAAATCGAGTAATAACAATTGTACATGTAAATTTTAGGTAATATCTGTTGTTTTCTTTCCCGATATTGTTTCCCTTTTGTTTCTAGGCTGATACCTACCCACTCAGTGAAAATGGGAAACAGAGTAATGATAATATAACGTATGTATCTTCACCTGTAAGAATGCCATAATTTCGTGTGAATTTTTCTTCTAGGGTGCTTGTACAGTATTTGGCAGAAGTTTGTGAGGTGAACTTAGAAGCTGAGGATAATCGTGGCTCCACTCCCCTCCATATTGCTGCTGCCTGTGGACATCTTGGCCTTGTACAGTATCTTGTCCAGAGTAAAAAGTTAGTTGCATGTATTTTTGTGTCTTGTATTATTTTAGTATATACGCCTCTATATATATTTTGTGTTACATCAGTTGCGAGAGTTCTTTTTTAGCCTACTTGGCACCAGAGCCAGAACCTGAGCGCTCCCCCCAGAGGTGCATGGAGTGCGTGACAATCCGTCACCCCACCAGAAAAAGTCTCCAGAAAATGCAGACAAGTGGAGGGTTCACAGACAAAGCCTCAAAACCACCCAAGAACTGCAGATGATTCACACAGATCAGGGGATTCACCCAAACTAGTCTGAAACTCGTTAGTACAGATTACTACCACAAGGCATTCCTGCCCCAGCTCTCCATCGACTCTCCATTTCAATTCTGGAGCTGAGAGCAACCCACAATGAACCAGTGAACCTGGAGGTGGAATTTGGGGGGTAATTAGGGAGCCACTGGGGCTCCTCTAGAAAAAGGTATTTCATTACATTCAATGCTGGGTTTCTGCAGGATGTCCCCCAGTGGCTTCCTGAAAGTAACTAACCACAGAGAACAAACATGGGATTTAACAGGAAGGAGGAGAGGCAGCAGACACTAGGATGAAGTAAAGCAACGCTTAGAGACAAGGCCTAAAGCAAAACATGGCTGACTGGGACCAAGAACAATAACTAAATACTGGGCTGCCACAATTCTATTAAAACACCAAAGCCAGTGAGCCCAAATATTATCCCTGGACATATTGGAGAAGATGGCGGCCAAAGTCATGTATTTGCGAGCATCATGGGCCTGAGAGTAGGCCACAGGATAACTAGACTTAATGACACTGCAGACAACCTGAGAAATGTGAGCCTTGGAACATGGAACCAAGGAAACTGGGTCAACCACCATGGTATCCACAGAGACAGAACTGGTGGCACACAGGTAGCAGGGAAGAGCTGCCACTATACACAACAAATGATGCATTCCCCAGCCATACCAACCAAAGTATCAACTACCAAAGACCCCTCTAGAAATTCGCAGGCTCGTTCTTCACCAGAAAAGGAGAAGGCTGCAAAGGAACAATTCAACCATCCAGGCCAAAGGAACAGAACCCCGGCCTCCTGAGAAGAGCTTGAAGCTTCCCAACCCTATAGATGGAAATGAGAGCTTGAAAGAAAACAGCCTTGAGAAAAATATCACGAGCTGAAGGGGAACTGTAAATCAAGTTTCCCTTCATAGGGGAATAAAATAGGAGAAAATATAAAGAGGAGAAAAGACAAAAACCTGGCTAAAAGACCAGGATATCTCAGGAGTATGAGCAGGCCAGAGGTGAAAAACCACTCAAGACAACTTTCGAAATGAAGATGTAAAGTGTTGACACCGAAGGCAAGCAGCAGCAGCAGCAGCAACTATTCCAACTCCAAACTATAAGAGGCAACATTATTTGGCATGGGATGCTGATCGAGAAACAATCGGGACAAAAAAGGACAGGACAGACCTGACAGTGATACAATTGGCATTAGACATGTGTAGGAACTCCTGATGTGTGGAGCAGAGGAAAAAGTTGAATCATCAAAGTACACTGCTCTGCCAATCTAAGGGAAGAGGTGGAGCCATGGAAAAATGCCCAAGTTCAGACACTGAGCCAGCAGTGCTGGAAACCAAGGCTAGTACTATATATTTATTGTATTATAATAGTACAATAAATATATTACAGAGTTGTAATAGTTTAATACAGCACTAATAGTTTAATGCAGAACTGTAATAGTACAAAACTGTAATACAGTAGTTCAATATTGTAATGGTACAGTACAAAACTGTAATAACACAATACAGTACTGTAATGAGAGAATCAACTGGAGCTCTGAGGTGAACGTGCAGGTCAGGGTGGTGCAGGGGTTAGCGTCAGTGGTGGGGATTCTCCTGGTCGCGGGTTGGAGTCGCCTCAGAGCTCCAGTCGTCTTTCTCATTGATATATATCATGCTAGTGGGATTTGTCTGTGTAATAGAAGTACTGTAATAGTATAAGCTCTGGAATGTAATAATGCAGTACAGTACTGTAATAATGCAATACTGTACAGAACTGTCATATAGTACAATACTGTAATAGTAAAATATGTTACTGTAATAGTACAATGTAGTACTATAATAGTAGAATGCATAGTACAGTAACTGTAGTTGAAGGGTAGGGCCAAACACTTGGAAATGAACTCAAATGTTCTCTGTAACAAATCTAATTTTATTTTAATATACAGAGTTACTCGTACAAAAGTGGACGTTGAGGGCAACACAGTGCTTCACTCGGCAGCCACCGGAGGAGTGTCGGGTGTTTGCTGGACAATAATCTACCCGGGTTCTGAGCAGCTCCTCACGACTCCCAACACAGCGGGTCTTACGCCTGCTCAAGTTGCTCATGCCTCCACTTCAATGTCAGTGAGCGTGTTTGGTAGCTGTTAGTGAGCATGTGTAGGGACTTAGTGAGCATGTGTGGGGACTGTTAGTGAGCATGTGTGGGAACTGCTAGTGAGCATGTGGGAACTGTTGAATCCAGGTGTTTCTCTGCAGCTCTGCCTCTTTCAGAATATTGGAACAGTGTTGTACCCCACTGGTTCGAGCTTCTCCTTGGCTCTTCCCATCTGATCTTTCAGATGCATCTTTACTGCCATCTCAATGGTAAACAGATGGCTGATTTGATGGTGTCCCCACCTGCATTTGTATTTTTGGCAGCAGTATGAGGTTTCTTGGTGCTTTTTCCCTTTATTGTCATTCTTCTGCCTCTGTATATGTGGTGCTTTCATTTCTTGGTTGGCATCTCGTGGTGAATACTGTCACCTTGTATCGTTCGGCACTGGTGGAGCTACTGCTTCTTGTGTTTGGTATTGATGTTTCCTAGTGTTGTTTTGGAAACTGTTTTGCACATTGTTTCACTTCTGGCATGCTCATGTGCTGCCTGAGCCTTATTAGTCCATGGACCATGTTCTCGCCTTTCTTCTCCACAGTTTCTGGTTTCCCCTTCAGTCTAGGACTCCTTTTCTAAAGTGATTTTCATGTTGGCACTCACCTTTGTTTGTAGTCAAGGAACTTCATGCTTTTCTCCAGATATGTGGGTTTTGTTCTTTTTGCCCTGGTGGGTACTATGTTTATTTGCAATCTTGCCCTCCTCTTCTAGCGAAGAATAAGTTGGCAGATTTCTGGATGGGTCCTTTGGTTATTGATGGTTGATTAGGCCGGGGGTAGCACCCTTGTGCCCACGATATTTGTACATACACTGCTCTTGCAGCAGTTTTTACCAACATCTCCTGGGCTGGTATGTGGGCATGGGAATTTTGGAGATCTAAAAGGGTTCTGGCAGCTGGGATTCAGTTAATGTTCCCAGGTCTTATTTTGCCCCATATTACATTGGGTTATGTCTCTTGGCCCTCATGTCTCATCCTCATCTTGACTGCCTGTGGTTTTCCCTCCTGGTGAGTCCCTCTTTTTCTTCTCCATGGATAGTTACCTTCACAGGAAGCCACAAGGGGGACTCCTCCCAGAAAACCCGCATTGAATGTAATGAAATGTCTCTTTCCAGGTGAGCTCTGGTGACTTCCTGACTCCCTTCCTCTCTCCAGGTTGTCGGAGGGTTGGCATCATCGTTGAACTGAAGGTGGAGCAGCTGGCCGATCCCTGGCTGCTTCCCTCCTCGCTCCCAAATGAGGGGTGAATGAGCAGCCACTAGTTTCATTAAATTTTAATAATTTGTTTACATTGTTGTGGAAGTTCTATAGCTGTTTCTTAAGGCTTTGGTCTCATTTGAATGTAGCAGTGGTTTGTTTTGCTTTGCTGACTTTCTGGGAGTCTTCCTTGGTGGTGGCATAAATGAATAATTTAATATGTAACTGCCACTGATCCCTGCTCCTCTTTTGAGGGGGGCCAGGTTCTGGCTCTGGTCCCCGATAGGCCATATAACTTTGGCCAATGGGACCTAGTAGAATGACACACTATCAGAGATAATAGCTTCAGGAATCCACTGGAGCTCGCCCAGAAATTGATGGTTCATAAGTCAGTGCTGGTTGTTTCTGCCCCTTCTTGAAAATAAAATGCAGAACATAGAATTTCCACCAAAACCAAAGTTCCATCTTTTACCATTAAAAGTATGCTACAGTATAACGTAAGAAACCAGCATTGAACATAATGAAATGCCTATTTGTGATGAGTTTTTAGTGGCTTCAAGGTGCTTGCTAACTGGTAAACTCTTCCCAATGCAATCCACACTAGGTCCTTGTGAGTCATTGTAAGCCTACTGGCAACAGAGGTCAAAACTTTGCCTCCTCTCTCTAAAGAGGTGCAAGGAACAGGGAAGCCTAGATCACCTAACGAAGAAAATCCCACCAAAAATGTGTGATATAGTACCACTAATCAGCTAGTACATGCTTCTTATTTTCTAAGTAGGAGCAAACTAATATTTTGTCTTTATCAGCTCCCCAGACTGTCGTAAGTGGCTGGACCGATGGACGAGACAGTATGAGCGCAGCAGTGCAGTGGAATCTCCTCGATGGCCTTGGTTGATTCAGTTGTTAACTCCAGTGACTATTTTTTATATTGGAATTGCAAGTATTTCCAGTTATGAATGTTATATGCATGATCTACAATCAACATTGATAAGTTGTTAATTACACCGGAAAATCTTGGAGTATGCATAATATGTAGTACAGACTTTGAACCTGCTTGAACATTTTATAACTTACATTACACACAGAAATCCCATAGCGTGATGCATCAAATGAACACATCCACACGGGCTGTGATGAGCATTCGAACATACGTCCGAAAGCATCCCAGACGCTGCCTTAATCGACAGAGCTACAACATGATCAAAAGAGTTGAAACCAGAAGTTTTACTGAACTTACTTGGGTCCTGCAGCCTCTTCGAGACACAAACCAGGGTTTTACACAACTCCCCCCATGCACTCGAGCCTATTGACATAGTTCGAGTGCATGGGGGAGTTGTGTAAAACCCTGGTTTGTGTCTCAGAGAGGCTGCAGGATCCGAGTATGTTCAGTAGAACTTCTGATTTCAACTCTTTTGACCATGTTGTAGCTCGGTCGATTAAGGCAGCGTCTGGGATGCTCTCGGACGTAGGTTCGAATCCTCGTCACGGCCCTTGTGGATTTGTTCATAACTTACATCCTTTATTCAGTTTGAACTTTGTTTTAAATTGATTAGTAGGGCATATAGTATTACATCAATTAATTTCAGTTGCTGTCTATGTTTGCCATGCCACATCACCAGTGGATGGTTGGACTGCCCGTGTTCATTGTAGCTCTCACGGTACTGGCAAGACAACAACATCGCATGAAGCACCCCATCAGGTATGTCAAACATCAGAACTTGTTATGTTCTGCACTAGAGATATTGAGGAAGAACTTAAGACATAAAATGTTAGCATTGAACACTGGAGAGTATAGTATAGTAGAACACAATCGACTTGAGAATGGTCCAGGATGGACCGAAACGTCGTCGTCCCTTCACCTTCTAGTGTGTGGTCTGGTCAACAAAGTATAGTATAGCATTGTGTATTAACAAGCATTCATTTGCACTGAGAAGATTTTTTTGCATATACATTTCTTGGGGAGCCCTGGTGACTCCCGAAAGCCATCTTGCTGAGATTGCTCCATAATAAAATGTCTCATCATTCACAGAAGTTTTGTTTATCCTACCAGGGACCATAGCCAGAACTTTGCATCCCCTCATAGAGCCTCAGGAAGCGAAAGACTATTCGCCGTGTCACTAGAAAAACCTCCAGAAAGTCAGCAAAGTTTTACAGACAACTGGAGGGTTCACAGAAAATGAAGCCTTGAAACTGTCAAATAACTCCCATCCAAATAATTCACACAGAACAAGGGATTCATTTAAACTAGCTCAAAACGTGTTAATACCAATTGCCACTACCAGGTAGCTTGGTCCCAGCCCCCAGCCAGCTTTCCATCACAGTTCTGTTACTGTTGTGACAGACAATAATTCTGCCTGTAGTGCTCTTGTCTGCCAGTCGTGGGCAAGCCCCGTCGTTACGAGCTAAATGCTGGCCATTCTTGGATATGTTTGTTCTACAGGTACCATTTGGTTGTTGTATTGTTCCTTACTTTAGTGTTCACTGCATTTTTTAATTTGGATTGTTGTGTACTCACCTAGTTGTGCTTGCGGGGGTTGAGCTCTGGCTCTTTGGTCCCGCCTCTCAACCGTCAATCAACAGGTGTACAGGTTCCTGAGCCTATTGGGCTCTATCATATCTACACTTGAAACTGTGTATGGAGTCAGCCTCCACCACATCACCCCCTAATGCATTCCATTTGTCAACCACTCTGACACTAAAAAGGTTCTTTCTAATATCTCTGTGGCTCATTTGGGCACTCAGTTTCCACCTGTCTCCCCTAGTGCGTGTGCCCCTTGTGTTAAATAGCCTGTCTTTATCAACCCTGTCGATTCCCTGAGAATCTTGAATGTGGTGATCATGTGTGGGATTGGCTCTTGTTGTATTTTGGGTTGCATGCACTCAGGGTTTTCTTCCTTGGCTGTCCACTAACACTGCCCTTGCATAGTCTGAGTTATCTTCTCTGGTGTGTTTAAGAGTTTGCCCCTGACAGGCCTGGTCACTGGGGGTGGAGAGCCTTGTCTTAGGCTAATCACAAAATTTTTTATTCCTCTGTTTGGGCCCATGACTGGGGGGCCTTCTTTTTGTTGTACTAGGGATGCACAAGGGTTCTGCACATGATTGTTTGTATGGTGCACTATGATTGCAAATCATAGCCAGATTGTTTTCACTGCATTTCCTGTCTGTTCTGCTTGTGAGAGGCCCCCAGTGCCTAGGGTTTCTATTTGACTAGTTACGATCAGGTTCTGGGGTTTTCCCGGGTGTCTATGGCCTGGCTTATTTTATCTTGACCCAAGGAGTCTGCACTCACTACGATAAGTTCGTAGAGTGCATGTCTGCTGCTACTGATGGGTAGTCATTGGGGTGGTGGGTGGTAGGAAAGTAAAGCAGCTTGTGCTTGGCCTGGCTGCAGCACTGCCATCTGTTGGTATTGATGTGGCCCTGGGTGGCTCGACAGTTTATTGAATGTTTGTGCTGGAGTCTTAACTTTGCCTGCATAGTTTTCCCTCAGCGCAAAGTGTTGCTTTGGTGGCCATTCTGGTATCTTAGGTTCAGCCCCTTTCACTACCACCACAATCGAGTGTGGGCTGCATTGACCCTTAGCTGGCTAGTGCATCACCAGCTTCTTCAGGATTTTTGGTGTTCGGTTCTCTGGCGCATTCCTGTGCCAGAGAACCATCTCTGGGAAGGACTTTGATTCTTCTGTGCACCAGCTCCATTCGGACTGTTACCCTGTGGTTCATTGCATCAACTGTGGAGGGAAGGTTTGCTTCTATCCTTTGCCCTTTGGAGCTGGACACTTCGAGTTCTGCTGGGTTTACGTTCAAGGATGTCCAACATTCTTGCAGATGGTATGTCCCGGTTCCTTGGTTTCAGGTGCTGTTTACTAGGTGTTCGAACCCAGGCATTTTTTCGCAGCTCCCCATTTATCAGAAGGTTGGCCCAGTGATGTATTTTGCTAGTTCACACTTTTCTTAGATCTTCACATCTGAAGTTTTTTATTTCTTTGTTTTCTGTGAACCTTCCAGTTGTCTGTAAAGCTATTTCTGATTTGTGATTTGTCACTCGCTCTATGCTCGTGTATGAGGGGTCCAGGTTCCAGCTCTAGTCCCCAGTAGGCCAAACACAACTTCTGTGACTGATGTAACTGCTTAGAATGGAGCAATCTCAACTTGACAGCCACTACAGTTCCTCCAGAAAGAGGCATTTCGGTACATTCAACACTAGATTTATTATAAACTGTAATTGAAGAATGTTTCAATTATTATATGAGTGGTGGTTCTGATTGTCAGTGATGCTGCCACATATATACAACACAGTATGGTGATGAGAGGTGGTGCTGATTGTTATTGATAAATGTACTGTATGTAAAAAGAGACAACGCTCCTCCCCTGCAAGTACTTTTAGGTAATGCATTAAGAAATCACATGAACATGATGTATCGATGAGAAAATCAGTAGGAGCCTTGAGGAGGATTTCTTACTATAAGTTAAGGACAGTATGGTTGTTTTGTAAATGTATGGATGCCACTTGGAGAAGCTTAAATGTTTTCTATTTTAGTCTCCTATTTTCATCGAGCAAATACCTTTGCACCCTATTTTAATAGTAAATAGGATAATGATGGTGATAGTTTTAATAAATGTATGACTTTCCAGGTGGCCCAATCCTATATACTTAGGAGCATATGGAGGAGGACTTTTATCCACAATGGCATGCTACTTTATCGGGATTGACGCTCATCGACATGAACCAATTATCGTTTCACTCATAATGTGGAGTACGGCGCTTTTCCATGTCATCATCTTCTATAAACTGGTCACAGGTATGAATACATTTTCTAATCAGGTAGGTAGGACCTATTAATTGTTATGTCACCAGGGTGAACACTTTGGAAGTTGTATTAGGCTTCCTGGAAATTTATCCATTGACCAATACCGAGTACTCTTCACCTTGGCAAAGGAACCAAGGTAGTTTCATTCTTGTATTCCTTCAGCCATATCGTCAAATCCCACTTTGGGAAGCTAGGCAGACCACCTCCATCAAAAGTAAGTGAATACATCCAAAACAAATCAAAACAAAAACTCCCAAAACGAAACACACAAACAAACCGGTCACCAGAGAGAACCGTCAGCCACTGCTGTATGCAGGCTGCGCCAGCCGCAGTGCGCTCCACCCAGCAAAATCCCACTCGCTACCCAGGGCAAGACGGGAAGCCCGAGACCCCCAACGTACCCAAAGGGAGAGAACAATGCCAAGCGATGAAGCCCTCAAATGGGAGTGAGACCTGAACGTCTTAGGGAAGATAACCCTAGAACGCAAGGGTGGTACTTACTGGGCAGCTAGGGAAGGGGGAACCCTAGGCACATGCAACCCAGCATACCAGAGAACACCTGGCCACCACACCATACAAAGCTGATAAAGCCACATAAACAAAAGTCGGTCAATACAGCGAGGCCAGAGGAGACTTGTTGACACCAAGCACATCAGGCAACGAACTGGTGGGGTGAGCGGGCTCCCCCTCCCCTCTCACTGGGGAGGGGGGTGCTAACGAGCAGGCCTGCTAGTTTGATGTTGACTTGCTTGTTTGTTTGTTTTCTTTTTTTTTGGGGGGGAGGGAGTTCTTTGGCTCTGTTCAGATGTAGGTTGCAATTTTCACCAGTAAAGGGCTTGTATTGTTTCGCCTACCTTTATGGGTGCTTTCCCTGGTCGACAACAGAAATGACATTTTCTAAATGTAGAGTGCTCATATGGCCATTGCTCCCTGCGCCTCTCTGAGTGGATCAGGTTCTGGCTCTGGTCTCCGGTAGGCACAGAACTCCCAGGACTGATGACACCAAACTAATATGGCACATGTTAGTTTGGATAGCTTCAGGGAGCCTCTGGGTCTCACCCAGAAAATGGCGTTTCATTACATTCAATGCTGTTTTTTTAATATTTGTAACCTTTACTGATACTTCTCTCTTGTCTTGTAGAGGTTGATGCCTGCCCACCCCATGAAAGTGGGAATGGGCATAATAAAATAATTTATTCTATACATGATTTTAAATTTTTCCAGGTGACCCTGGGATAGTTCGAGCTGAGGGCCCTCTACAGGAAGTGCTGCGAGGTGTGGGCGAGGGAGTGGTACGGGGATATTGTTCTGAGTGTCAGTTGGCCTCGCCCCCATTCTCACACCACTGTCGCCTATGTGTGGAATGCCACCATCAAACAGACCACCACTGTCTCTTTCTCAACACTTGCATTGCCGCAAATAATCACTGGCATTTTGTGGTATTTATAATGTCGAACATGGTTCTCATGGTTGGATTTTTGGAAGCAGCCTACAGAGTTACTATACCCCAGGCTACTCAGGGGGACTGGGTTGACCAGTTGGCAGCACATTTTTGGTATCTAATGGATGAAGATATGTGGACCTTCCTCATGATGATATGCAATGGAGTTTCCTTGCTATGGGCCATTCATCTTTTAAAGTAAGTTGTTATTTTGCATGCAAAATATAACGTATTTATTACTTTATAAACAAATATCTTGTATAGCTATTTTCTGTTCGTATAAGTTTCATGGTTTAGAAAGTTTTATCAAAAGAATGTTGATTAACTCGTCCACTGTATGATACCTTATGGATAGTTGCTGAGAACATCCCTCAAGCTGTCCAACCACTTGGACTGGATGGTAGAGCAACAGCCTCGCTTCATGCAGGTCGGTGTTCAATCTCTGACTGTCCAAGTGGTTGGTAACTGACTATTTACTGATGAAAGTGTCTTAGAAGATCCTGACTGTGATGAAAATTATGTATAAGGTACAAATAGTAATGAACCCAATGTTGGTTGTGATGTTCACAGCACAAGGTAGTCATCTATCGCACACAGCTGCAGTGTGTTGCATCATTTCATCATTGCATCTCTGCATCTTGAAACAAACCTCATGTTCCTTTATATCAAATATACTTGTGGAAAATTCAGGATTTAGTGACCAGGATTCTGATGATAATAGCAGTGTTGTGGCTAGAGTTAGCAACGTGCATAGTATATTGGGAGCATTTTGCTGTGTCAGGTTCCATTGGCATCTGACTGTAACACGGGTAGGGTTCTCTCTTTAATCTTCCTTCTTCTTTCCCTACTCCCCCTCTACCCGTATTCTTACTTTTTATTCTCTACAAGGGACTCCAAAACTTTTACCAAAGCCAACTCCACGCCACGTGGTCCTAAGACGATTGACCGACTTAGGATTCTACAACCAGTATGACGTGACCTAGGCTTTGAGCAAAACCCTAGAGTCGCCTCCGCCGCCACCACCAGACCAGTAACACAGCAATGATCGAGGTCTGGATCGATCATGCTAATTAATCAACCTTGGGGCTTGATCCCCACTATAACCAATGACCTTGAGTGTGGAATAAATTACACGGTAATGATGGATTCCGATTCGATGTTAGAATCGGCGCCCAATACAACTCTGCCTCGTGTGGACCACGTGACCAGGACAAGTAAACATAAAAAAATGGAAACAATAAAAATGCAAATTATTAACTAATTAATTTATTAAAAGGAAACTAAAACAAAATCTAAATATGTTCACTCCCTGTCACTTTAACACTCCCTACTTGACCTGAATGGCAAATGAGAAGACTATCCCTATAATTAACAATAGCAACTATACCTTGGGCAACCAGCTAGATGTTGGGGGCTGGTCTTGGGAGAGGTAAGATGGATGACCTCTCCCAGTTGATTGGGAGTCCACACTGATCTCTTCCTCGTCTGGTCTACCCCAGACTAGAGCATTGTATTGTTCCGCATCGCTTACCCAGTTACTTAGCAAGGTTTAAGTTATAACAATTAACCTCTGTTTGTACTGAATTGATCCAGACTGGTTGAATTATTTTACTGAAATTAAATTACACAAACATCTAACGGCAGAGCTGTTCCCGATCCCCAAAATGGTTAATTGAACTTTGAGAAATAGTAGACATGTCAACCCTGATGACCTATGACCGCCGGTCACTCCGCCTTACAACTTAGATCTGATTCGTGACGTCACTGATGGTGACTTACTCAATAATTAGAATACTCTTGATATTGTACCCAGTACTATTATACAATACAATTTTAATACAAAATGAATAAAGGCTAATTTCTCTAAATTACTGAATACTATAGGATGGTTCATTATACGAAGCTATGAACAAAGCGTCGATGTTATTTTCACCGCGAATTCCCCTGGGGAATCAGGTCCCAGGTCACCACGCGGCTCAGCTTCCCATTCTCTTTTGTCGATAAACCACTCTGGATAATTCTTACAACCAGCCTAGTTTGTTACATGACTAGCATGCGGCACATATTGTGCATGGATTATGAGATTGCCACACACAGTAGAACTGCTTAGTGGTTTGTTATGGTGCATAAAAATGTAGATAGTTATGTATAAAGTGTGTGTCTGTGTAAAGCAGTGTAATAACAGCAAAAACAGTATGTTTTATCCATAAAAAATAATAATAATGCATATATTAATGCATGAATACATCTGTTCGTACCTATGTCCTACACATTTTGTGATACAAAGAACAATTTTGACATCCCAATTCATCATTGTACTTCAAAAACAAATCATGGTAAAAGCATTAAAAAAACAATGAAACAATGCACAAAATGCAGGTTGTAAGCATTTAAGCATACCATGTTATGTTCCACATAGCCTGGCTAATACTAGTGTTGTATCTCAAAATTGAAACCAGCACGAATTACTTAAACAAGGACTCGAAGATTGAGAGGTTTAGAATTTGTCAAGCCAAGTTTTGAGGTACAGTATCAGGAAAACATGTAAACTACAGGTGCTTGCAAATCCTTGCAAAGTGGGATGATAAGAGAAATATATATTTGATGAAGATAGCACAAAGTACAGTGGAACATCGAGTGACGAGTGACTCCAGGTATAATATTTCACACCAGCTGACTGTGTGAGTAGCTACGTCTTATTGCCCTTACTCACCATACAAGCTTAGATGTACAGTTATGGTGAACAAACCATGTAGATACTTATATTTAACGTCTGTGTATAGTGAATAAAAGCAAAAACAGTATGGTGGGAGGAGTATGTTAGCAAGTGAGGAGGTGAGTGAGAGAGTAGTGGCGAGTGGCTGGCTGGCTGGTGAGTGACGGCCACTCTTCGTTTCTTTTTGACTCACAATACCAACTTAGTGGTTCGTTATGGTGAACAAAACATGCAGATACGTATATATAACATGTGTATATAATGTAATAACAGCAAAACTATTTGTTTATTGTTTTATGAACATAATATTTGAATCACTAAAATGAACACAATAATTTTGAGTACAGCGATGGTTCGCACATTTTAATATATAAATATATCACAATACACTCTATTGAATAATATTACTGCAAGAAAACAAAGAAAAAATAAATCAGAGACATTGAAATAATTAGGTAATAATATCTTTATGGCAATCCCCGCCTGACAGCTCGGGCGGAGCAAACCTCGTCTGGCGACTGCTCTGTCAATGCCTCTCTTTTGCCACACTTTTCCAGTCTATTGCGCCCAAAATATGCCACCTACAATTTTTAATTTATTTTCCCATGATCAGAGAACACAAATGAACACTATTAGACGAAAGATTTTTTTTTTTTTTGCGCCTGTGGGTATTGAAGCCATTAAGACCCTTAGCGACCAAAAGGTTAAAGTCTGTATTCACTTTAATTCATTAAATGAATCTACCTAATACAGTACCAATACTCAATGTCTGCATTCTCTCTAATCCAGGTAATATTATATGACATGGCTTAGTTTAATCAAACACAACTGTGTATTTAAGAAAAAAAATTCTTGCTGGTAGGTTTTCTCTCGCATGATACTTGACGGATCATTTGACATGTTATTCAATCTGTTTAATTCTTTGAAACAATTTGGTGACAGTGATATATTTATTGCTTTTAAGCTCTAAATTCTTTACGAATACCAGACTTAATTATTTAGCTGAGAACTAGAGATTATTATTATTAATATTATTAGATGTTTGTGAACATGCAGCCATATTTGATGCAGATGTGTCCATATATAAAAAAATGCATTCCATTTTGTTGAGCCAGATATAACTTTGAAATTTTGTTTTATACTGTATGTGAGTAACTCGTCCAATTGTTATGCCAGGTATAATATATCTTTTTTTTTTCATTTTTCCAGCAACCAATTTCAGGTTATAGGGTCTCAGCAGACAACTTTGTGCCGCCTTAAGCTAGGAAACCCCCTGACGAAACCAACACACAGAGAAAAAGTCAAGAATTTCTGGAGTTTTCTTGTTCGTGGCCGAGTTCCTTTGAGCAATCAGACTCATTATTTTAGTCAAGTGTAATTCTACAAAATATTACAAATCGTTGTAAATTTACTGTTGAAAGCAGGTTACCTTAGGGAGAGTATCTGAACAGAATTTTTTGAAGAGTTATGTGAGTTTTGTATATTTCGTTTTTGGCCATGTACTCACCTAATTGTGCTTGCGGGGGTTGAGTTTGGCTCTTTGGTCCCGCAAGTGCACTGCACTGAATGTGTTTTGGCACAAAATTTATTATCGTTTTACCGTTGGATTTCTATCTGCACTGAATTCTTAGGAATAATGTTCGTAAAGGAAAGTTTATTCAACTCCATTGAAAAGATAATGGAATGGTAAATAGTGTGGTGAGATATGTGCACACGAGTACATATGTTTAGAAATCAACACATCAATACAATCTAAAGCCACCATCTTTAAGCATTATATTTTCTTGGGAGAACATTTTCTTAGGTTAGTAAGATGTAATTTGATAATTAAACAAATAGCCAACCTGTTAGACTGGTATTTTTTGTTATATCATTCACTAAACTGGCCAAAAGTATAATAAGCATAATATGTGTGTAAATTCTCCTGGGAACTCCTTTGAGAGTGTGGGAACTCCTCTGCCTTGTGAGGGTCAAGTTCAGTGTACCTACAAGAGAGGAATTATGTATATATATAATGTATATATATAATGTATATATATAATGTATATATATATATATATATATATATATATATATATATATATATATATATATATATATATATATATATATATATATATATATATATATATATATAAAACCTACTTTCATTCAGCTTATTCTCCAACTGATGCTTTTTCCCCTCCCTCATTATGTACATGAGCCGGTCGGCCGAGCGGACAGCACGCTGGACTTGTGATCCTGTGGTCCCGGGTTCGATCCCGGGCGCCGGCGAGAAATAATGGGCAGAGTTTCTTTCACCCTATGCCCCTGTTACCTAGCAGTAAAATAGGTACCTGGGTGTTAGTCAGCTGTCACTGGCTGCTTCCTGAGGGTGGAGGCCTGGTTGAGGACCGGGCCGCGGGGACACTAAAGCCCCGAAATCATCTCAAGATAACCTCAAGGAATGGGAAATAGAATAATGACTATGAATGGATGGATGGTTGATTAGCTGCCATATTAAAGAGATGTTTCCTATTTCTCACTGTAGGAGACAGAAAGCCTTTTAAGCTTATCAAGGTTCCCCCCCCCCCTTAGGTCAGGTGGGTAGCCTTTTTGAAAGCATGTGATCAAATAGCGATAATTTCCTAACAAGTTCTCAAGTGCAAACGGAGAAAATAAAATGCTTGAAAGCACTCTTTAAAGAACTTTGTTTAGGCGACCAATAACTGTGTATGCATGACAACAAAATACTCAAGTGTATTATGTTCAGCATGCACGCCATTGGTTCCCTACCCTCAGCCATGCAACTACTGACCTACTTCAGGATGCAACCCACAACAGCTGACTAATTCCTAGGGACCTATTAAATGCTAAGTAAACAATGGCATCAGGTGAAAGGAAACATGCCTAAACATTTTATGTTCTGCCATAGGCATCGAACATAAGACCTTTTGATTTTGACCAAATATTGCTGACTCGGTGACCAGCTATGTGGCAGCTGACCTAAAAAACATGGCCTCTCGGGCCGAGACAAACTGGATACAGGGATCACATTTCCTATTTGGGATCTCAATAATTGCCCAGAAATTTTTGTTCCAGATAAATTCCAAACAAGAAAGTTTATAATCTGGAAAATTGCCATCTAAAAACATTTTTGTTGAGTGTAAATGTCATGTACTTAGTGATAATATTGTATATACATAGGTTATATGACATTGCTCAGTGATATTAACAAATGTGTATGTAAACGCTAACATACGATTAAGTCAAATGTGTGTTCAGTGCTCTTGATTTGGAAGGAAGTTCTTGTTACGGTAAATATAAATAGTTGTCTTCTGAGGAGATGGATCACTGTATTTTTTCCCATCAAGTTTGTTATTATTATAAAATATGATATATTTCACTTAAAAAAATCTCGATAAACCCTAGTTCTTAATTGTTATATACTCATCTGATAAACTATTAACCTATTGTTCAAGTGCACTTCTTGAGGGAAGTGTGGAGACAGTACAAGAAATATTTGATAAAAAACATTTTTAATATATAGGTTCCTCCTTTGATTGTTTTATTGAGGCACAGTTTCCTGTGATTATAGATCTAATATTGGTAGTGTGTTCTGTGACACAGTGTTTTGAACTACAGAACTTCGTGCAATTCTATATTTAAAGCAATTGTAAATGTTCTCTGAGATCCTAGAAACATTGTTTAAATATGTATTATGTTTACAATTCTCATTCTCAGAACATGTTATATAGAGATTTAGACTTTTGTAATAATATGGATGTGTTTTAAACATTACTGCAATAATGTGCTAGCGTATACCATATTATCACTATGATGTACTGTATGTCAAATGTTTAGTAACAATTAAAATACTGCATAATTATGTAATAGCACCATATTTGTATTTTAGTAGCAAGATGTCATAAACTTTTGTTTCCTGTTCTGAGACAGGAGACCAACCACTTGGGCTGATTGTCCAACCACATGGGCTGGATGGTAGAGCGACGGTCTCTCTTCATGCAGGTCGGCGTTCAATCCCCGACCATCCAAGTGGTTGGGCATCATTCCTTCCCCACGTCCCAGCCTTATCTTGGCCCCTTCCAAGTGCTATATAGGCTTGGTGCTTTCCCCTGATATGTGATTTCAGGGGAAATTTCAACGTGTGATTTTCCCTAATCACATGCTATTTACGGGCTCACCATAGCCCGTGCTACATGGACATTTTGTTCTGAGTAGCTAAATCTAAAACAACAACAACCCCTGATAATTCTATCCCTCCTGTTCTGAGAGGAGTTAAGGGGCAACCCAGCCATTTTAATGGAGTTAGGACTGTATCTGTACCCTCCTTTTCTCCAGGGTTCAAAATAAACTACTTCTGTTGTATATACATAGTCTTTGCCTGTCATCATTAAGTATCACCAATATATTGTTATATTTCTTGAACAGTCTCACATATGCTCGTTTACTTTTCTTTTAGTATTAAGTGTTTACTTCATACTTGCATGTGTAACCTCTGTACCTACAATTGTCCCTTCATCTTATGTTCTTTGTACACACATTCTTATGAATACAAAATCATTATCATTATTGAGAAAATCCACTTGGGCAGTGAGGTGGGTGCGAACCTACAACCAAGGCAATGCCAAGTCGCGTACTATGCCACTATTTTCTCATTGATATAAATCACGTTAATGTGATTCCTGTGTGATTTATCATTATTACTGTTGTAAGTTGTAGAACAGCCTTGCGTGTTCGGACTTCACTTGCTATACCTTATTATTGTATACCCACTGGACCATACTATGAACCGTTCCAAGTATGTTTACACTAAATATCTGTATTATCTTGTAGAGGCATTCCTTATTAGCATAGTTATTGTGAATGTGGAATGTATTGGGTCCACTACAATAAAAGGAGGATAGATTTAGATGTGTCGATACTGCTGTGTGATTTGTCTTTCCAATAATTACATGGATGTTTGGTGTGTGTAGCGGAAGTAACCACAAGAGGAGTCTGCAGCACCCTAGACCTTGGCATTGTCTGTGACACCCTAGAACTTGGCATTGTCTGTGGCATCCTGTACCTTGATATTGTCTGTGGCACCCTAGATCCTGGGCCTGGCATTGTCTGCAGCACACTAGGTTTTGGCATTGTCTGTGGCACCCTGGACCCTGGCATTGTCTACAGCTCACTAGGCCCTGTGATTGTTTACATCACCCTAGACTCTGGCATTGTCTGCAACACCCAAAGCTCTGGCATTGTCTGCAGTATGCTAGACCCTGGCATTGTATTTTTGAATAACGAATTGGCAAGTTGTATAAAATATATGTAAATCGACTGAATCGAGACTGAAATTGCATGACTAAAATGTGTCATTCCATTGTCGGCAACTTTTATTATATTATTCCTTCAGTTCACTAATTGTTACACATAACTGATTACTGTACTGCAATTGCACAAAAAAAAAATAGAGAAAAAAAGGCATTTTTGTAACTAGTCATTTTTTATCTTATGTTTATTGTATTTTAAGTTAATCATGCATCAAAATACATTTACTAATTTAGAGATATTGATAAATGTAAAGATACACGAGGCAATGGAGTTACTTTTGACATTTCTGTGAAGTGTACATAACATTAAATGTGAGATGTTGTACAGCATAACCCCTAACAAATTTGTGTAAGAGTAGGTTTGGGAGAGACTGAGTGCAGTCTGTTTCAAGTGCCATTCACAATATTTGGTCCAATGATTTTTGGCATTATGAATTTTATTATTAACAGCAGAGCAGCCCAAAGGTTAAACCAATAATTTAATATCTTTATTTTCTTTATTTGTTGATTTTAGTATCCTGCAATAGAGCATATGTAATGCTGCCACTGGCGTGTTGTTGTGTTTGATGTGCTTGTCGTATATCCTGGCTGGCCATCTTTGGGCTTGCCTATTAAAAGATTGGGTGACTGCACACAGCCAGCTTCATGCAGGGGGCTCCCTTTGTTTATTAAGCTATTCCACATCCTAAAAATTAAAAACATTATGAGTAAAAGGAATTACTAAAAGTGTAATCACTTGTAGTTTGATTAATAGGACAAGATTATGCATGAAGGGGAAGGAAAGTATATATGTATGTATGTTAAGCGTATTAAAAACCAAATTTTTTAATGCAACCTACATCCTTTCTCAAGGTGCCGTATACAATGTTCTGAGAGAACAATGTTCTGGTCAGAATATTGTATACAGTACTTTGAGAAAGGATGTAGATTACATCTAAAAATTTGTTTTCTGAGAGGAGCCCCGATAGCTCCAATGAGCCTTTGGGGCTCACCCAGAAAATGGCGTATCATTACATTCACCGCTGGTTTTTTAATACACTCACACATACACGGTATTGGGTCTTTCCTTTACCTTCATTCAAGCACTACGGCATTGTAGTACGTTTCTTCAAGATTGTGCATGTTGATTACCCCATTATGCAGTTATGTGACAGTACTGTACTATATAGCTCTGGGTATACTGTAGAAGTACTATCTAATTACTTGCTTACATATCTTTGAAGTGTACAGGAGTTCTGTGTTACTAATTTTAATTACCACTAATGTACTGTATATGTTTTTTTTATAGATTTGATGCATACAGGGTATTTATTCAATTTAATTTACTCTCGAGCATGCTGTTTGATTAATAATAAGTGCCTTATTGGCTATCATAGTTTCATGGTTAATCTGACATTCCTTCTTAAAATAAAAAGGAAAATGTAGCTGCACAAGGTCCTTATCTCTGTATAACTACAATATATTAGAAGTAATACAATACTAATATTGGCTTGCCTTAACTTCCAGTCCCCCTATAAGTTAGTTTTTATTTGGAA